CTTTTAAAGACTATCTTTTTAGGGAATGGGAAGCATTTATAGGAAACATTTCTTCACTTATATGTGAAGACTCCTTAGGGTGTAAGTGTTAGGAACATCAAGTAAACTAGAACTGAGCAAAAAATAAATTCATGGGCAAAGGCAGTCAGTCGCACACTGCTCCCACAGTGCTGCAAAACAATTGACCACAAAACTTCTGTGACATTCTAAGAAGTCCTGATGGAGGTTCTTTGCTGCTCAGCCCATCTTAGCTAGGTTGCTCCTGTTTCTGTGACAGCCACTGAGGAGGCAGCTCCGCTCAAGTGGGTGGGGCTTGTTTTCACATCTTGTGGTTGGTAGGCTGCTGGCAGGGACAGCGTGGCTATGCATTGTGTTTCTCAGTTTTTCTCATCTAGGTAAAGCATATTCTTCTTGGTGTCATCAAGGAAAACAAGCAATGAGTGAACACAGTTGCTATCATTAAGGCTTCTGCTTCCTTCACATTTATTTTCACTTAGCCAAAGCAAGTCATAGAACTGAACTTAGCATCAGATAGGAAGGTATAAAGAACTCAGATAAAAGGTGTAGTCTTTCTCTGTCCCACCAACCAGTTCCCAAATAACAACACAGAGGCTGATTATTAATGATGAAAGCTTGGCTTTTAGCTTAGGCTTGTTTTTAACTAAAATTGTTTTTAGTTAAATTGTTTTAAACTTAAATTAACCCATTTTTTTTTTATTAATCTACATTCAACCATGCAGCTTTTACCTCTATCCCATTCTGTGTGTCTGACTCATTTCAAGTCTGTCTTGCATCTCAATTATCTCCTCCTACTTCCTCTCTTTGTCTGAAAGTTCCACTTCTTCTGCCTAGCTATTGGCCATTCAGCTCTTTATTCAACCAATCACAGCATTGTATCTTCACACAGTATACAAATATCCCACAACAAGAAGGGTTATGTGCTGATGAGAGGGCTCAGTGGGCAAAGGTACTTGCTGCTATTCTGAGTTCTATTTCTGGGCACTGACGTGGTAGAAGGAAAGAACTGACTCCAAAAAGTTACCTTCTGACCTTCACACACACTTTCAATACATAAATGAGAGAATACATGAAAAAAGGAAGACGAGGTTAAGACTTGGGGCTGTTTACGCTGTCTCTCTGGCACATGTAACTAAAATGACCCCAGAGAGATGGAGCTCCGGTGATGGTTAGATGCAGAATATCACATGGCATCTCCTCGCTTGGCTTTACACACTTCAAAGTATAGCTCTGCTCCCTTTGGCTGGGAGTGAAGCCACAGAGGCTCCCACATGGCCCCTTCCACATGGTAGTTCTCAGAGGTCAGTCTTTTATTTTTTTCTTTTTATATTAGCATTTATTAATTATATACAGTGGGTTTTATTTTGACATTTTCATACATGTCTTGATGTATCTTGATTGTGTTCACCCCTCATTACCCTTTCTTGTCCATCTTCTTCTTCTGGTGACCTCATTCTTTGCCCAGCTAGCCCCCTTCTACTATTTTGTGCCCTCAAATTATTGCTTATTATTTTGTGTCAGTGTATGTGAGCATATGTGTGTGTGTGAGTGTGCTATGGCACACCTGTAGAGATCAGAGCACAGCTTTCTCGAGGGTTGTTTCTCTCCTTCTGCTATGGACTCTGAAGTTAAACTCAGGTCATCAAGTTTGCAAGGCAAGAACTTTTACCTATGTAGCCACTGAGTGATCTCATCATCCCCCATGTCTTCTTTGTGAATGAGCCACTGAATTTACTAAAGGTTAGTTATGACTATGTCACAGAAAAAAATCTTTTCCTCATTAACCATAAACTGCCTGTGGACCTTCAGGGAGGGATGGGACTTCATGGGCCCTTCCCTGACTTCAGTACAGAATGTGGACAGGCCCAGTCTTGGCAGGTGATCTCAGTCACTGTGAGTTCAGGAGTACTTGGAAGTCAGTATTCCTTCTTTTCCTCTGATCTTTCCATTCTTTTTTAGGCTTTTCTTCTGTAATGTTCCCAGAGTCTTAAAGGGCATAATGTAGATGCCCCATTTGGGGCTGAGTATTCAACCATCATTTTCAGAGTTCCATCTTCAAAACAACTATCTCTTAATTGAAGATGATCTCATCTTTCCTATCTGTTCTGCCTGAAGTCGAGATATGGAGTCTTTATGGACCAGTGAAGGTCTTGCACCATTCCTTGAACTATCTAACCATGTCTGGAATGGAGTCTAATGACTAGACAGACTTGGATTATATTCTCACCTCTGATGCCATCCAGGATGGAGTCATGGGAGTCAGCCTCATCTAGTTTTTATGAATTGGAAGTATGGGTTTTGAAAGACTTTCTTTAAGGAAAATAAAGATTGCATTGCTAGAAAGTGTGTTTAGGGGTGGGAGGAGAGATAAATGATAGGCATATGAAAATAAACGTGCCTCTATGTGTTGCTTTTATTGTTTTAATCTCATTGAGTCACTAAACAAAGGGTATTTATTTCCTCATTTTTACAAAAGATGTTTATTGACTTTCCTATGTTAGGTAGCAACAAGGTATTTTATAAATAGCATCTGGTTTATAATATAATGAGTTAGATGGTATATAACTGCATTTTATCTACTGCTCATGACAGTTTTTAAAATCCGCTAAGGTCACTATCTTGCCTGTATTAGCATGGAGATCTCAACCTGTTTGCCCCTCTCTAGACTCTGCCTCCTGTTGCCACACTGAAGGAAATCAAAGCAAACTGAAGAATTCCCAAGAGCAGGAGGCCATGAGGCACCTGTTAAGGCCTTTTGAGGCACCTGTTAAGGCCTTTTGAGGCCCAGCATTGAATTGATAATTGCAACCCTATGGCCCCAGCTACATAAAAACTGTCCTGATATGCTTGACTCATCACTGTAGGGAGCCTCTCGTACTTGTATTTAGGTGTTAGGGGACCAGGAACTTTAATTTTCTGTACTGTTCTTCTGTGCCATTTCTGTACATGTGGGAAAAAGTTCACATGAAGATAAAGGTCAGCTAATAAGGAAAAGAGCTCTCAAAAGACCAGGCTGGAAGATGTGTGGCAGGGGCAATAGCTTTGAGAATCTGCTCTTATGTGCAGTGTCTTGCTGGTTGAAACACCTCTTAATACTAGCTCTGAGATGGCTAATGGGCTCCAAGTCATGTGCCAATGCCAACTGAATGGTAGGAAGCTATCTAGAGGGTTGTGTTGGGCAGGGGGTCTGTGATTTCTAAAGGGCACATGAGGAGACAGGACAACACATATGTCAAATATTAGACATCCAAGGAAGCAGCAGTTTCCCAGAATCCTTATTAAGCCATGTGTATTTGAGAGTCATGTCCCTAAAGATAGGTTATTTTATTGCTAAAGTTTATACAGTGATTTTTTTTTTGATTTCCAAACCATACTTGGCACAAATCAAGATGGAGAACTTCATTTTCCTAAGGAAAACAGAATTTCCTTTTTGCTTTGATAACTTTTGACTATGGGGCACAGTGGGAAAATTTGTTTTAAAAGTTTACATGTAGTTAAGAAATGTTTTGTGCTTGCTTTGGCAGCACATATACTAAGAGAACATCATCATAGCATGGCGGCAGCCGACAGGATTGTCGTGAGAGAATTAGAGTGCTTTTACAGCAGGCAGCTGCTGTGGTTAAGCAGGAAGGGGGTGACAATGACCTCATAGAGCGCACTCAGGCAGATGCCTACATCAGCTCCATCCACTCACAGTTGGAGCATTTGTTGGACCCCTCTTCTTCTTCTTCTTCTTCTTCTTCTTCTTCTTCTTCTTCTTCTTCTTTTTAAAGATTTTATTTATTTATTATGTATACAACATTCTGCTTCCATGTATATCTGCACACCAGAAGAGGGTACCAGATCTCATAATGGATGGTTGTGAGCCACCATGTGGTTGCTGGGAATTGAACTCAGGACCTTTGGAAGAGCTCTTAACCTCTGAGCCATCTCTCCAGCCCCTGGACCCCTCTTCTTTCACTGGCCAACACCCCAGCAGGTCCACAGATTCCTGGAAGAGGAGGTGTATCCCCTATGGGAATGTGATGGAGGTGAAAACAGAGCTCAGTCTGTAGAGTAGAAGAAAAGGAAAAATCATTGAGAGTTTGCTAATTATATTGTTGAGAAATTAATTCTGCAGTGCCTCCTTCACCTGAAGAATGTACGTTAAGAGTGGGACAGAGATGATCCATGCTGTGATCCCAGCACTCAGGAAGCAGAGGCAGGTGGATGGATCTCTCTGAGTTCATGGTCAGCCTGTTCTACAGAGCTAGTTCTAGGACAGCCGAGGCTACACAGAGAAAATCCTGTCTCAAACAGACAAACAAACAAGCAAAAAGAATGTATATTAAATTTTGTTGCCTAGGGTTCACAATAGACAGGTGTACATTCTTGTTTTCTCCAGTCTTTTATTTTTGAGACAGGGTCTTACTGTGTATCCCTGGCTGGCCTGGAACTCATCGGGATCCACCTGCCTCTCTCTTCCCAGTGGTGGGATTAAAGGCGTGCACCACCAAAATAAAAAAAAAAAAAGAAAGAAATGTTTCAGAGTTATTTTTCTTTATAAAATAAATATGTGGGCAGCACTTTATTCTGTCTGTCTGTCTATTTATCTATCATCTATCAATCATTTTTTGTCACTCATTATCATTATCATTTATTTCTATATATCTATCATTCACCCATCATTCTACCTGTCTGCCTATCTAGATTTTTTTCAATGTGAAGAATTGAACCCGGGACTTTGTGCCTTCTTGGAGAGCATTCTATGACTTCTAGCAATATATTTTAAGATATGATGCAGTTGTAGTTGTAGAATTTCAAAGAAGTTTGCTTTTAATTATCCTTTTTCTCATTTTGCAGATCTCTGAGTGGAGTCATTTCCTGGTGCCAACTATACAAAGAATGTGGTGAAAATTCTGGCCAGTGGAAGAAACATTGGCTTGATCCCTACAGTTGCCTAGCATTTCTTCTCTTCAGTAGCACCACATCACAGAAGAAAAATGTATGGAAGTGCAAGAACGATCACTAATCTGGAAGGTAGCCCTTCCAGATCACCTCGTTTGCCAAGGTCTCCTCGTTTGGGCCACCGAAGAACAAGTAGTGGGGGAGGGGGAGGAACAGGCAAGACTCTATCTATGGAGAATATTCAATCCCTTAATGCAGCCTATGCCACATCTGGACCCATGTACTTGAGTGACCATGAAGGGGTGGCATCAACAACTTATCCAAAGGGCACTATGACTCTGGGCAGGGCCACAAATCGAGCTGTGTATGGAGGCCGGGTCACAGCCATGGGGAGTAGTCCCAATATTGCTTCTGCTGGACTTTCCCATACAGATGTTCTTTCATACACGGATCAACATGGTGGGCTAAGTGGCTCATCCCATCACCACCACCACCAGGTACCCTCCATGTTGAGGCAGGTAAGAGACAGCACAATGTTGGATCTTCAAGCCCAGCTCAAAGAACTACAGAGAGAAAATGACCTCCTACAGAAGGAGCTTGACATTAAGGACAGCAAACTGGGATCTTCCATGAATAGCATCAAGACTTTCTGGAGTCCTGAGCTCAAGAAGGAGAGAGTCTTGAGGAAAGAGGAGGCAGCTCGGATGTCTGTCCTCAAGGAGCAGATGAGGGTTTCTCATGAAGAAAACCAGGTAGGTTCTGACCTGTCACAGTGTCCCCCGGCTTTGCAGGTGGCTCCAGACTTACTGTATACACCAAGAAAGTTGGACACCACCAAGAATGTTACAGCTTAATCTGTTTCACTTGGATGCCACAGCAGAACCCAGGAAGTACTATGGTGTACTGAATGATTTCCTTACTCCGGTAACCTTTCCACATAGTTGCAGAACTGGGGAGGATTGATCCTTATTGCCAACTTTTTATGTGGTTAATTCTGTTCTCCTTTTCAGTGGTTGCAACAGTGGGTCAGATGTCCCTCCTGCCGAATGGAAGAGGAAATGCTAACCTCTGCACGAGTAGACACTTTACATTAAAAAGCCACACTTGACTGGTGATTTTTTTTTAAATTATTTGTTATTGTTCTTGCTGTTGAGCCAGCGCAGTTTCTTAGAATGAGCAGCATTCTCTAAGTAGCAAACTCAACAGAAAACCGGGATTGGGAAGAGTGGATTTGATACCATGTAAGGGAAACCCAGTTTCCTGGGTTTCCTTAGTTTGGTTGCAGCCTTTATCCATTCAGTATTTATCAACTACTTGCAAGATGCCTTCTTAGTCTTTGATCCATCTTCTCTTTTATAGCAAAATTAGTGAGAGTAGTTTCCCAGAGTCTTCCTGAGTTTGACCATTCCCCTTCTTACCACTCCCTGTTTCCTTCTTAACACTTACTGTCTCCAGAAGGCATTGTGCCTCCTTGACTGAGCCTACAGCACCTTCTACTGGAAGACCTGGTCCAGTCTCATCTTGTACCACTTCCTTCCACATTTGAATTATCTGTTCCATCCTTGGTCTCCCTGCACACAGCTGAGGTTTCTCTTGCCATGTTCTTCCTCTTCCTTCCCACTGTTAGCTTCCCCAACATTCATTTCCCATTCAGCCCAGCCAGTATCCATTTTCCATCTTCTTTATTGTAAGAGTCCTGTCTTACACAGTATTATTTTCACAAGTGCTTTGGAATCAGATATATCTATGCCTAAATCTTCCTTCCTTCCTTCCTCCCTCCCTTCCTTCCTTCCTTCCTTCCTTCCTTCCTTCCTTCTTTCTACCTTTCTTTCTTTGGGACATGTTTCTCTGTGTAGCTTTGGAGCCTGTCCTGGCACTCCCTCTGTAGACCTCTTCAAACTCACAGAGAACCTCCTGCCTCTGCCTCTGGAGTACTGGGATTAAAGGTGTGTGCCACCACCACCTGACTTAAATCTCAGCTTCTTTTTTTTCCCACTTTTTAATTTAAATTAGAAACAAGATTATTTTACATGTCAGTCCCAGTTCCCTCTCCCTCCAGTCCTACCCTGTCCCCCACTAACACCCTACCCTATCCCATACCATTTCTGCTCCCCAGGGAGAGTGAGTCCTTCCATGGGGGAATCTTCAGAGTCTGTCATAGCCTTTGGGATAGGGCCTAGGCCCTCTTCCGTGTGTCTAGGCTAAGGGAGTATCCCTCTATGTGGAATGGGCTCCCAAAGTCCATTCCTATGCTAGGGATAAGTACTGATCTAGTACAAGAGGCCCCATAGATTTCCGAGGCCTCCTCACTGACACCCACATTCATGGGGTCTGGATCAGTTCCATGCTGGTTTCCCAGCTATCAGTTTGAGGACCATGAGCTCCCCGTTGTTCAGGTCAGCTGTTTCTGTGAGTTTCACCAGCCTGGTCTTTAAATCCCAGTGTCTTACTGGAGAGAGAAAGACCTCAGAGGGAGTAGAGGGTGCTGTACCATTTGGCCCATGAACTCCCTGGTGGCATTTCACTCCATTAGAAGTCTGAGATAATTCCAAGCTGGCTGAGCTAAGGACTCTGGCAGCTGGTCTTGCAGCCAGCCTAATGCTACACTCTACCTTTTGGTGGGGGTCATCTGCTGACCCTCTCACCGGATTCTCTTGACTACTAGTACTTCAGAGCTAAGCACCTGTGGATGCACGTATGCCTTGTACAAAGATCTTCTTGTTGGCTTTCTATGTGTGCAAGCAACAAGCAGTCACCTTATCTCCGACTATCTAGAAGAGCTGGTGCTGCTTTTCCGATGTGGAAAATGTGATTATTTTCCGTCAGAACAGAAAGCTCTCTTCTTTACCCTTCAATCAAATTAACATTCACTAGCACTGTTTCTGCTGTGTTCTGATTTGCTAGTTCATGAACTCCCTGTGAACTTGTTACTGTAATGCACATTTCCTCTCTGCTGCATATTGTTTTTCTCCTCTGTAGCTTTTTCTCTTTTAAGTAATTAAAGCAGGTTAGCAATGATGAAAGCAGTGGCAAAAAGCTTGGAGGGTAGTCTCTGGTCTGTCAGCTCTAAAGAGACTTTTATCCTCTGCTTCTGTCATTGGATTTATGTTTGAGCACCAATTACCATTTATACATGTGTGTTTATTTGTAAATTACAGTATGCTACAGTGTCAATGTGTTGTGTGTCTTCTTTGATATTCACAAAAATATATGGATGAGACAAAGTAAAATAAATATAATGAAGTGATTTTTTTTAAGTGGAGTTCCCTTTTCTTCCCTCTTAGAAGTATATAGAGGCGTATGCATCCCTCTCACTCAGGATAGGGTAGGCTCTTCTGGAGTGACACTAGACCTCAAATCTCAGTGGCTTAACACATAACATGCGTGCTTACTTCCTCCTTTCTCTCTCCCTTCCTTTCTTCTTCTCAGTATCTCCCTGTGTGTCCTTGACTGACCTAGAGCTCGTTCTGTGGACCAGACTGGCTTTGAATTCAGAGATCCACCTGTCTCTGCCTCCTTCCTGAGTTCTAAGATTAAAGGTGTGCACCACCACACCTGGATTCTGATATTTATTTCTTATTCCCTAAGGCATGAAGTATCAAGTGACTCTCCGTGGCATACAGCAACACGGGACCCAGGCCTTCTACCTCTGGGAGCCTGGCTTTGAGAATTGTTATTCTAGGGCAAGAGATTCCTGAAGATGTCACATTGACTCCTTAATTCTCCTGACTAGGAGTGACACAGCTGGAGGAAGTGGGGGCTGTGTGGTCTTTTCCTTTGAGAGAGAAAAGACGACATGAGGTTAGTAACTATATCTGTAGGTTTTAGGTTCGTTCTAAGAGTGAGGCTTGTCAGGCATGGTGGCAAATGCTGATAGCCCTAGCACTTGGGAGGTGGAGGCAGGAAGAGCAAGAATTAAAAGTTGTCCTTGGCTATGTAATAAGTTCAAGGCCAGTCTCAGTTACATGTGTCAAAGAAGCCAAAATGAACAAACAAATAATAGAAAAATAGTGAACCTAGAGGAAATAAAGTTTGGGGAATAGTCTAGACTTCTCTTGATGTTGCTGTTACCATTTTACTGCTGCCGTAGCCAGCATCTGTTGAGGGCTTATAGTGAACCATGTGTTTATGAGTAGAACATTATGTATATCATCATTCAGTTACTTGAATCAGTCATCTGAGGCCAGTACTAGAAGTTTTCTTATCTTAAAGATAAATGTAAATGTAAAGAGAATGGAGGACTAGCCCAGATTTTTGCCAAGTTGGAAGGTGGCAGAGCTGGCCTTTAAGGTTTTGGTTAGGCTCTTGACTTTGTGGATGCTACCTATCATGGGGAGCACTGAGGGGAAAGGGTGTTAGTATGACAGGAAGGTCATATTTAATGAAAAGAATGAAAAGCTCTAATGGAATGATTAAAAATTTGGTTTATATAGAATTTTTATTCTAATTAGGGACTTATTTTTCCTAGAAATGAGTTTGATGCTATTTCTAAATTTTACCTGTGTTACCTAGCTTTCTGACATGATAACACATGCCCAGCACAATTAACTTATGAAGAACAAAGGTTATTTCAACTCATGGTTTGAGAGGTTTTAGTCCAAGTTTGGGCGGAGCTGTTATTCTGGGCCTTTGATGGGCACAGAGGGTGGCAGTGGTGGAGAGTGTGTGGAGGCACAAACTGCTCAGCCAGGGTTTTACAGCCCCCTTCAAAGGCATGCCTTCAGTGACCCGAGGACTTCTGGGGGATCACTCAAGCAACGTCAACACTGTTTATTATAACTAACTGTACCTTCCTTTTAAAGGGACATAAAAGTCTTAAGAGACTTGAAGCTGCAGCTGCAAATTCTTCCAGGAATGTTAGATATTAGAATTGAAAACAATTTGAACTGTGCCACCTGAAGAGAAATGGGAGGCAGACCCATTATAGAAAGGAGGGAAGAAACTTATGTGCTCTTGTCCGTGACACAGACATGTACCCTCAGGTGCAGATTATAATCAATTGCAGAGGGCATTGATTTTGATATCCTCCTGGTCCTAACCATGGAAGCTGAGACCATCTCCAATTCTAAGGGAGGCTGTTGAACTTGCTCCCCATGTTAGAGAAAGTTCAAGAACTACAGGGCCAATGAGTGGCTGGCCCCAGATTTCTTATGTGTAAAGTGTTGATAATCAGGTTCCTGGATGGATATTCCACCTCTTCTTTACTTCCCATCCCTTCTTTTCAGTGCAGGGCCACACTGATGTAAATATATTTGCTGCTGCCGAGAGTTGCAGTCCTGAAGTTTGGGATGATGTGTGTACCCAGAGTGCATGTATGCATGGCTAGCTTAATGTGTGTAACCGAGAGTACATGTGTGCAGGGCTAGATTAATATGTGTAACCCAGAGTGCATGTGTGCGGGGCTATCTGAATGTGTGTAACTCAGAGTGCATACATGCAGGGCTAACTTAATGTGTGTAGTCCAGAATGCATGTGTGATGGGGGAGGTCCTTCTGTGTATGTTTATCTTATTGGTTGTTGAATAAAGTACTGTTGGCCAATAGGGGAGCAAGATAGGTGGGACTAGGAGTCGAGGAAATGTAGTAAAGAGAAGTCTTATGATCCAGACAGGAAGTGACATAGCAGGAAGATTCAGAATATAAGCAGGGACAAGTAGGAAATCGCTGTCTTCCTCATCCTCTCTTCTCTGTGGGGTTGCCATGTGATCGCCGGCAAGAGAGGGTTCATACAGCCGGCATTCCTGATGAGTCTT